GTTGTTTTTTTTAGCTCCTTTTGGGGTGGTTTGTTTCTTTCTAGGGTACGGGGATTGGGAACTTTGAATAACACAGGTATGGCTGTATTGCACCTTCAGTTGGTTTGCCTTAGCACCAAGAAACTGAGAGTCCGCAAAGTACCCAAGACTCAGAGCAGAGAACTGTCTCAGAAAAGAGACATTCTGGTGACTTGCTCAGCAGATCCTGTCTCCACCCTCGTCTGGCACGCTCGGACCGTATCTTTAGTTTTTAAAATATCCAATCTATTGTATATTCTGTTAGAGAACAGTTCATTGCAGAGCACCACTGGCTGTTCTGTCGTTTTTCAACGGTAATACCTAATGCACTTCTACCGTTTCGTAAACTCCTAGATTTAGATCTAGATCTAGATATCTACATCATCATGTCACTGAACATGTTCAACTCACTACCGCTTTCCGTTCATTAAAATCTTATTTCCCAACTCACTATATTAAAAATGTGAACAAAAACTAGTCGAAATAAATACCAAACAGTTTATATGATGAAAAAAAACAAACCCCAAGGCAAAACTGCCATTATGAAATTCAAAGTAGATTTAGGCATCTATTTCAGCGAGTTGAAGAGTGCGCTCTCTCTTCCTGTCGTTTGTTTACGCTTTAAACGCGCATCTAGCTGGTTACCAAGGGGAGCCAGTTGGAACGAAAATGAGGCTGTTGTCTCGTCTTGTCTTAGTCCGTCTTGGGGGAAACCCCGCGAGACGCCAAAAATAGATGGCTGAAATACGTCATCTATATTTTGGCCAATCACAGAGATGTGTTACATGCTCGCGAAGACAGAGGTCATAGCCGAAGACAGAGGTCATAGCCTATCACAGAAAGCACAAAGGTCTGGTATAGTATGGCTAGAATTCTCTATAGTATTCTTCCACACGCCATGGTTTTCAGTTTTCAGTTCAGTCAGACCTTTTCTGGCTCTTGTGATGATCCTAGTACATGTAATGTGATCTTTACCTGAGAGTGATCTGTCAAAGGCGAAACCAAGATACCTAGTCGTTGACTATGGGCATCTCTGCTTTCTCTGCATGATTATTCTGCGAGCACCACAGCACACAGGTCTTGTCGGGGGTGGAGTTTGCCGTTGTGGTCTACCCACCATTGCTCAATCCTATCCAGATCCTGTGGCACGGTGCAAACTGTTTCTTGCCGATCATTACCCTGTCTGTATGCACGGACATTATCCGCAAAGCTCAGCACACGCCCTGGGCCTTCCAGTTGTGCAGAAGTGATTCCAACGGTGTATATGTTGAATAACAATGGTGGGAGTGATGATCCCAGCGGCCCCAGGTGTGATGCTTCTGGTATCAGATGTCCAGTTTCCCAGCCGCATTGCAACTCTTCCTCTTCAGAAATGCCTCACCTATCCATATCACGAGCTGGAGTTTGATCGTTGTTCTCAAAAGGACATCATACTCAACAGTAGGCATCGGCTCGAGTCCAATCGCTGCTATCAGGGTCTCCTCGCCTCTATCAAACCCATCATAAACAACTGATGATAGGACAGTGGCATTCATCTACGTTTCCCTCCCCCTTCTGTAGCTATCCAGAGTCGCTGGAAGTGCCTCTTCCTTTTCTAGCTCTTTTACGATCCGATCGAGTACCCCACCGCCTTTTCAAAGAACTTGCTCTCTCAGTTTTGCATCGTGATTAGATCTACTCGATTTTATAAGCATCTTACTCTGGTCCTTGTCACGCTTGGGGAGTGGTACTAAGTGGCTGCCCAACTAGTCATTCTGATAGATCTAGTATGATATTATTGATACGCAAAAAAACCCAAACAACCAGGGGCGAAGGCTGACTTGTTTGACAGGGTAATCAAAGTGAAATGGGACCAGATAGGGCCTGGAGATATCACACTCACACAAGTCACAAGAATCTTACTGGCACTGGAGGCGGCAACTCTGAGTTGTGAATGAAAACAAATCCTGAATTCATGTTGTATGCTTGTTCAACCGCTAAAATAATCGGGAAAGTATTTCATTAAATATATATTCTAACTAACCTTAAATTTAACTTTAGATTTGAACACACGAACACCAAGGAAAGAAGCACAGATGTCAGCACTACAATGGCATGTTATACCAGACAGCCGAAACACTTTGGTAGAGCACGCCAATTATTAATTTTTTATTTCACATGTGGCTGTTTTTTGTCTAGCTTTTCGCGGCCAGGAGCCGCTGTCATAATCGAGGTCACGATCTGATTATAGGACGTTAAAAAGTCGAGAAAAAACCCCAAGCACTAGCAGTGTAGTAACAGGAGTCAAAGGATTATTAGGAGTTAGTTCCCCTCACATCTGTGAGGTAGACTCGACCAGTGTAATAGTTCGCTTAGATAATCAGCGCGTCTGGGTGCTTATAACTGTGGCCTGAAGGGGGTGAACAGGGTATATGCAACAATGAAACAGTTCTGACTGCTATGCACATGTTCCCTTCAAATCGATTGGTTGACTATTCCAGCCTCACTTTAAGATTACTTAATCAAAGCTTGTGATAGGGGCGAACAGGCTATTTATGTGGCAATTAAACGGTTTTGAAGGTTAGGCATAGTCTATTGTTCATTGGTGATTATGAACGTCTTTTTACATTTAATTTATGAGGTTTACGTCTATGGGTGAATTTGACTGCGACGATGTTTCAAAATTAGGAAGGGAAGCAGTGATTATTTGATTATATTTGCCTCTGCAAACAACTACCCAAAACAATAACAAAAACACAACTTTAAGATTATAGACGTGTGATCAGTGTAATGATTGCTGTTGTGATCAATGTTTCATTTACAATGAGAATTCGTCAGTAAACCAGGATAGATACGGATACGACGAAACAAGCAGCTAGCCTATGGCTCCTTTTCGCCTACCAAATGCGACTCTTCCCAATTAACTTAATTTTTTTTTCTACTTCCGGATACCTCAATCCACAGATGTCAGTGTAGTATTGTCTATGGGTTCGTTCTTCCGGGGAAATTGTCGGAATTCCCGATGAATAGGCCTAAGGAGGAACGAAACCTTTCTTTGTACGCAGTGGCTATTTTTACGGCGAGCCGTAAAGATAGCCTCCCAGGCTATTTTTACGGCGTGCCATAAAGATAGCCTTCCAGTGAGTCCCAGGCTATTTTTACGGCGATCCTCGAAAAGCGACCCTACTCCGCCTCTCATGTACGCGACATGCCTCAATGTATTAGATCTAGGCCTATAGTAGGAGCCGTTCAAAATATAAACTTACACCTCAGAGGGGAAAGGGTGTCTTTGGCTTCTGTAAGAAAAGTGTAAGATTGGGTGGGGGGGGGGGGGGTTAACCAAATATGACACTTCTGTGAGATGAACGTTTTGCTCATGACTGGGAAGAAAAGGTAAAAGAAAAAGTGGATAAATGCCAGTGACAAGACCCAGATCTGCATGATGACTGCAAATAATTTTGAAATTATGATGAAAATTCTGTCTGTGGATATCTAATTTCTTAATGTTTCTTTGTAGCTTTGCAACTGTTTTGTTGATCTTTTAATGTCTTGATGTCATTTATTTGTAAGGCATGTACCTATTGCATTGACAAGAGTCTCAATGTCTTCCATATTTATGCGTTCTTTCTAGTTCATATGGTTTGATTAAATTGTATTAACTGAAATGGTATTTTTTTTTACAAGCTGGTTAAAAAACGCCACGTATAGTAGGCCTACAGGTATGTTTAAAATAATAATGGAAGTTGAAGATCGGAAAAAGTACTAATTAAATTGGTGTGGATGAGGGTTGGAGGCAAATATGAGAAAAGTAGTATTTGGGTTTTGTGTTTTAAAAACGTCCCCAAAAGTGTAAGATTATATTTGAACAGCCTCATAGGTTTTCCATTTCCTCCTCTTCACCATCATCATTCTATTCTCTTCTTCATCTTCCTTCTCCCTTCCTCCACCACCACCTTTTCCTTCTTCTCCCCACCATCATCATTCACCCTCTCTTTATCATCACCACCACCATCACCTCCTCGTCATTATCATTACCATCACCACTGCCACTGCCAGCATCATCATCTCATTCACAGACATCACTACATTATGTACCACACCCACAAGAAGAGCGGTCATTTTGGAGTTAACACTTTTCGCCTTGGGAATGCCTATATAAAATGTTCCTCCTTCGTTTGCACTGAGCAGATTTTTGATAGAGGTGTAAAAATTTTTGTTGTTGTTCCCAGTGATTAATTTATTAATTATTGTGATGCAATTTCAGGGTACAGGAACACATATATTTTTTTTTTCATTTAAATATCAAAATTTTGCTCAGTACGATTGACCATAGTATCTGTATCTACCATTCCATGAATTTTCATACAATTTTGTTAGATGGTAGAAGCCTTCGGTTTTTTAAAATAATTGTTTGTTTTGCATGTTGGTTCTGTTTCCATTCCATGGCAACTTTCATATTTTCGGACTTATTAAAATTTACTTTCTTCATTATTTCTTATGCCCGTATAATTTTTTTTCCTAAATATGAATCGGAAAAAGAATCACCCTTGGGGTGAGCTGTTCCCCGTAAAAATGGACAGTAATAAAATGAGCACATCAGAAAACAAAAAAACAAAAACTTAAAAAATGCGATCTATTTTATTATTTGAAAGAATCCCACAACAACAAGGTCCTAGTAAAGAACATAAAAACATTGAATTGTTTAAAAGTCCAGAATAAAGACTATAATTATGAAGCCAAAGACACCCTTTCCCCTCTGAGGTGTAAGTTTACATTTTGAACGGTCCCTACTATAGGCCTAGATCTAATACATTGAGGCATGTCGCGTACATGAGAGGCGGAGTAGGGTCGCTTTTCGAGGATGGCCGTAAAAATAGCCTGGGACTCACTGGAAGGCTATCTTTATGGCACGCCGTAAAAATAGCCTGGGAGGCTATCTTTACGGCTCGCCGTAAAAATAGCCACTGCGTTCTTTCGCAAACAGTAATTGAAGGCTTAGCCTTAGATCAAGATTTCTTAGAACTCTAGATCTAAATCTAGAGTCTTGATTTGATCTAGAATCTACACTGACTGACAAATTTTCAGTTTGATTTGAATGTAGATCTAGATCTAGAAATCTACTCGTAGACTCCAAGGCAAGGTAAATATGGTGATCTCATATCTTGTTACTTGTTACGACTTGTAGTTTCGTTCGTTAAAGTCCACGATCCATTTGTTTACATCCAAAGAAGAAATCCAGAAGTCTTGATGACCAAATCTTATTTGAAATAGGCTGCACAAAGAGCAGAGATGCAACCTAACTACAAAACATCAAATTAGGATGAAATTCAGGGGACATGCCTTGCCCCCTGACACCCCCCTACTCTTGACTTTAACAAACAAAACAACAAAATAGCCAAAATTCCTTCTAACCTCTTCAGACCTCAGATTTCCTCGAGAATAACTGATAAAGTTCTGTACTATTGACTCCGAGACTATTGTTTCCATTTTTTGTAATTCTGTTCTTTCACTGTCATTAACTACTGAAAAATAATATTATAGGGCACTCCTGTACAATTGCGGTCCCGTTTGAGTTGGGACTCGTTTTGACCCCACCGACAATTACTTCTGGTTGTAGATCTAGATTCTAGATCTAGATCTAATTATATCTAGATCTAGATCTAATTGATTAGGCCTAGTATCTAGATCTAGATCTTGTAGATAGATCTACTTTTTGATGCGCTTTGCGACGATAGGCCCATATGGAGAGATAGCCAATCAAGAAAGTGGCTATTCTCACCCGCCCGGAAGTTCTCGCAAGATCAACTCCTCCCCTCTTCTCTCTCTCTCCGTCTCTTTCTGAATACTGTCTATCGGTGTGGACGATCAAATTGACCAAAACAAAGTTAAAAAATGATGTTAAAACACAAAAGTAAATAAATTTGGTTGTCTACAAAGATGCTACGGCTACGCGGGTCGCCATTTTGTTTTGCCCGGAAATTCTCGCGCTACTCTTCTCTCTCTTTCTCTCTCTCTTTCTCTCTCTCTCTCCACTGCCCACAGACAAAATTGTACGCTTTTAGTAGGCTACAATTGTAATGGAACGTTTGTTCACGGCACAGAATTCTACAATTTTTCTGTTATCACAGTGTAGAATTCTGTGGTTTAGGGTGAACGCAAAATTCGGTGAACGCGCACCGGGTGAGAATAGCCACAAGACTCGCCTGCACTATTCTCACTCCGGGTGAGAATAGAGGTGGCCGCCAATCAAACGTAATTGCAAAACATCAAATTATGGTCACCTGAAACCCCCCCATGTTTCATCACTAAATCTACATAAAAAAGACTACAAAACAAAAAGTTATAATTATGGGAAAAATTTGTTGGTCAGTCGAGAGAGCGCAAAAAAACCCCAAACTTCCTGGACCGGGATTCGAACTCACGCTCATAAAATAATGGTTTGGTTTCAAACGCAGACGCGCTGTCCCTTCGGTATCAGAATTTCCAACAACGAAAGGTAGATTAAGCTTATATAACACACAGCTTTTGACTTAGCGACTTAGCACTGGCGCTGATCGCAACGTGGTGTTTTATTTAGCACTGGCGCTAATCGCAACGCGGCGTTGCAAATAGGCACTTCCATTATTTTGTGAATTTAGCAGGGGGGAGAATAGAAGTAGAGATAGACTATTTGTTTGTGATTGAACGAGTTTGGGTCGACTGGTTTGAGTGTAAAATTAGTGAGAAAATGGCCGCCAAAGTTTGTTAACTTCAATAGAGCTTGAAAGAGAGTTCCTGAAAACTGAAAAATTACTTATTTTGTACTTTTAATCAACATTTTTCGGTGAAATTCACAATGGAAATGTGTTTTTATTTTTAAAAGGTCTAGCCAAAAAAACTAAAAAATTCGATAAAAATTGCCACAATAATACTTAAGATGAATGAGATAAAAAAAACAACAAACAAACAAGACAACAATCTTAATTTGTTTTATATGTTATATTTAGTTAATTCTATATTAAATTACTTACTGCTCTGTTGCGCTGCGCATTGATTGAATATTCGTTTTGGTATATTTAGCAATAAACAGTTGTCTTGAATTTCAAACTGAATGTAGAAACTGCAGAGTTAAAACCCAGAAATAAGACAAGTCTATTATGTTGAATGGGCAGGGATGAGATAAAAATTTATTCTCAGGACTTTTAATTTAATGTGTACATGTTTCTCCTCTTTTAATCTGAGAATCTTTGCTAAAAGTTCTCCTGGTAAGAAAGCGAAGCCATTTAAAAATAAAATAAAGGGGAGCGAAGTTTATGAATACGAAGTGGCTAGCCGAACTTAAGTCTAACAGACCTAAAGTACGGCTAGCCTAGTCGTCTAAGTACGGCTAGCCTGCAAGTCTAGCCCTACTTAGGTTAGGCCCTTTTTGACCGAAACCTGTTCAATACACATTTCTCATTAGATCTAGATCTAGTAATTTTATATATGTTTAAAATGGTGCATGTCACTCAGTAAGGCACCTTTTGCTTTTGTCTGCAATACAAATACTTCAAGTACTGCAAACTAAAATTTTATACAATTATAATTATTTACAGCTATCATTATTTAAATACAGCGCTAGCCTGCCAGTCTAGCGGTACTTAGGTTAGGCCCGATAGGCCAAAACCTGTTGAGTACAGTTCTCATTTAAGTAATTTGTCAGGCTCAAAATACATGCACAGTCAGTAAGGCACCTTTTGGCTTCGTCTTAAATACAAATACGTTAGGTATTGCAAATTTTAAAATTATCTTCAAATCAGTAGACTTATTTTTCGCTGTTTGTCAGTCTAGCCATCATTATTAAGTACGGCTAGCCTCTTCCTATGAATATTAAAATCTTTCATTCTCATTGCAAGCCTGCATTATTTCCTACACAGGTGTCTGCCAGAATGCCTGTTCAGAAAGGAAAACTGAAGCCTGGTGATGAGGCAAAAATCACAGCGAAGTACAAGTATCTTCTGGATGAGCTGGATAGCGAGGATCTCGTTCCAGCTTTGTTTGCGAAAGAGGTGATAGACAGAGATGACATGAATGCTATTGAAAGCAAGGCCACGAGGAAAGAAAAAATAAAAGTTCTTATAGACAAATTGTTCTCAGCAGGATCTGGAGAAGCTTACAACAATTTTATAGAATGCCTGAAGGAAAGTGGCTATGAACTGGTTGCTGAAAAATTGGAAAGTACAGACAGTACTCCTTCTCCAGTAATTGAGAGTCAGCCAAGTAAGTTAAACTCTATATGTGAGGCAGCGTGGTGGAATCAGGCTCTCGTCAATTTTTTAGCACATAGAGTTATTGGTATCATCTTAAAGCTTGTTCACTTGTCTTTATTTGGATGAAAAAAATATCCGTTTATCTTAAATTTAATATAAGTCGAGATATTTGTGAATGAAGGAGGTGGGGGTCACCTGTTTTCAGAGGTAAAATTAGTGAGAAAATGGCTGCCAAAGATTAGTTATTTCCTTAGCTTAAGAGTCCATGGTAACTGAAAATTTACATTTCTTGTGCCTTAAATCAACGTTTTTCAGAAAAATTCACACAGAAATGAGTTCTTTAATGGGCAAAAAAGGTGTTGAGCCAAAAAACTAAAATTCGATAAAAATTTACAAACCTGCGGAAAAATGCAAGTTACTCCCCTTTGACTATTTTGACGAGAGCCTGATTCCACCATGCTGCCTCATATATCTATAACATTCTTTTTGTGATTATACAGTAACATGTCTGCTTTTGGATAGGTCTAATCAAAAGGTCCTTTAAAAAAAATAAATTTCAGCTTATAGAGCTAGAGAGATTATATTTGAAGCTATATACCTAGAAATACAGTCCAACATGCTCTAACAGCCACCTATCAAAGACAACCCTGAATTACCATTTCTGACTTGTTAATGTATGTACCGGTATTGAATTATTTATACATACGTGTGTGTACAAATTCAAATCCAGTTGAATTTTACTTAAATTCAAATGAAATATTTCTGCTGGATGAGAAGCTATACATGTGTCAAGGTCCCTGTAGGTGTACAGTTTTGTTCCTGGACTGCGTCTCTGACATGACATGTCATATAGCATTATCAAGCAGCCGACTCAACAAGTTGATGCTGTGTGTTGTGTGCAGTGTGTACTTCTGGCAGCCAGTTCGCAGGCGCTATGGGGGAGCAAATTTATATTAGTTTGATAAGGACTGTGCAACACAGGCTGTTGGTAGATTGTAGTGTGAAGACATAATTTTTACTATCGTGTATTTAGGCATACCTTTTTGTATATTGGCTAAACCTGACAGTAAGCGAGGATGACGGTATTATGGGGGAGGTGGGGTATAACGAGGTTTTGACTAGAATACAATGTACTGTATTTTCCCAAATGCGGTCTCATTGGCGAAGATTAAGGATAGCAGTATTATAACGCTATAATGATATGCTCACCCCATGCCCTATTGATGTAGGCCAGTGGTGACCAAAGTTTTTTCAAAATGGGCCGGATAACTGAGAGATCGTAGAGTGTATGCCTGAAACAGGTAACTATTTGAAGAATACAACACTCTACTGTGGTTAAATGAAAAATTTGTCTCAGTTAAGTCGACCACGAGTATGATAGATGCCTAATAGCAAGGTGTCAAAAAGTCTATTTAAGCAAGAGTAATTTTCTCTGTAGAATTCACTGAACATGAAATTGATTTAGTCACCAAGTCCTGAGCAGCGAACTGCAAACAACTATCTTCCAATTTTTTTTGCCTTTGTATGATGGTATGGCAGCTGGCCGATGAACTGACCTCGTAGGCCAGAATTGGCCCTTTGCCTGTGGTTTGGTTACCCCTTTAACATATATATATATGTGTATTAAATAATACAACTATACTTCACTAAAAATTTTAGCTTTACAACTTCTGTGCCAATTTGAGTGTTGACTTCTGATCCTTTGACTTTTTTCCTTTTTTCTGTCTGTCTGTCGTTCTGTTTTCATGCACTTTTTCTTCTTCAAGTGCCACATTTGAAAAAGAATATATATGATTTATATATATTGGCCAAATTGTAATTTCGTTCGCTTGTCATTTTTCTGCTGAGATGCTCTTAAAAAAATCAATATTACTATCCTGGACTTTTCCTATTGCTCATCTATTCAAGTTCATGAAGTCTAAGCAACTTCTGGTTTTCCTTTGACTGTTTTGCCAAAGATATATTTTTCCGGTGGGAGCACCTTTTTCTCTACACTAAATGACCATTTTTCTATGGATGAGCTTTTCTTTACTCAAACTCAAACACTGTGGTTGTCATGCTTCGTAATTTGTACTCTTCAGGTGAACAAGAGATGGATTGGATGAATAATATACCGGACAAAGTCTTGGACGAGGTCATTGTGGATGCCAGCGCCAGTAAACTCGCTTTTCAAATCGGTACAGGATGGGAGCACCTCATGCTCCAGCTGGGTGTGGGAAATACTTTGATTGAGCGGGAAAAAGCGAAGGGGGCAGCTGGTGATGGGACCACTACTGTCACAAACCTATTGATCCGCTGGAGGCAGAAGGAGGGTAAGGCAGCCAGCTGGAGACATTTCTTTCTTGTGTTGAAAGATTTGTATGAAGATGATGCCATAAGTGTTGAATTGGAAAATGTTATAAAAATAGCGTGTCAACAAAAATGAAAGTGTACATTACTTACTATGGGAAAATTGTAATTTTGAAGATCAAGAAGTGAAGTGTTGTGCCGGCGGTGACCTGAGTACATTACACTTTTTTAAACCTAAGGTGTTTATCTGAAGACTTTTTGATAATTCCCAGGCTGCCTTTTGTGACATGAGGGTTTGATTTAGAGATCACAACCTTTAAATTTATAGCGTAAATTGTTTGTACACGTGTTAGCAATTCCGAGACTCAATATCAGACTATCACTCAGTAGGCTACTTGTGTATGCAACATGAGATGAGAGGATTGTGTGAAACTTTGAAACATTGGATTTTGCTCATAAATTGAATGGGGATCAAGGACTGGTGAAGGGTCTCATGTAAAAGATGAGAAAAAGCCAAGTGTCTCTCACAGCTTCTCCCAGCCCAGGCAGTTGCACATACCATGGTGGTCCCTGTTCGCACTGACAATAGACTGTCCAACTGATGGCAATGTGCTCATGTACAGCTCTGTTTGTAAATGTTTTTCTTATCCATCGACACGCTTTAGATGATTTTGGAGGCAGGCTGCTCTGACTTTGCCTGTCAGTGTCCTTCATGGTGAGGGGTGGGGTGGGGGGGGTGGGGGTGGGGGGAGGATACAGCTTCCCAGCAGACAAACGGAAATGCTAGACAAAACAAGTTCCCCATCTATGAATGAAACTCATGTCTTTAGCAGGCAACAGCAAAGAGCTTGATGATTTTGCCACAGCAGCTACTTTGTCCAGCTTTTGTATTGGCAGTGTTGAAACGCTTGGGGTTATCAGGACATAAAGACTTCTTTATCTATTTTTAATGCAAAGTACACTGGGGTCTGTTTTGAACAATTTGAGAGTATTTAGTAAAAATGTATAAAAATAAAAGATATATAAAGGCTTCCAAGTGAAGTCAGGTTGACACAGAATTTCAGTTGGTGGTCAATTGTGGTCTCTTTAAACAAGACGTGTTCACCTTTGCCCTTGCTTGTTTGTTTGTTTGAGTAAAGTGAAGTACATCGACACAATAATGGTCATTTAGTGCGGGAGAAAAAGTAAGACAGACTGACAGAAACAACAGAGGGGAAAGTAAATGAAACAAAGGTGACCAATCATGGCTGGTTTCTAAGTAAAAATGTCAGTATTGATGTGAGATTGTGTATGATATGATTTTGATGAGATGTTCGAATTATTGTATTTATGTGTGCTTTGTATTGCCTTTCCAAGCTTGATTTCCTCACAAGCACCAAATTTGTTTTATATGTTTATATGTCCGTGGGATGGCTTACTTGCCTTTATACACTCGTGAGGCGTGCTGACAAAATGAGTTACTTCTCAGATTTTGACCCTGTATCAATAAATATGTGAAATTTATAGATCGAGTTTATACATTTGTTTAGTATGAAATGATAAAAGAGCTGTTACACTGAAAGAAAATGACATCAGTTGAAAATGTACAAATTTAACCCGTGTCGATTTTCAGATGATATCTCCATTTGCAGATTGTAGAAGTAACTTTATTTTAACAGCGGGCCTCACATTTGTTGGAGTGGTACTAAGTGATTTCAGTGCTTTCAATTTGACTGTATCGATCAGGTCAAAGGGCACGAACTCAGGTGGCAGCTAGATAGGAGAAATAAGATTGTTTCGATGTAGGTTTTTCTTATTGTGCACAGATATATATATGCACCTTTGTTATATTTTTTGTTAACTGATTCCTAAGAGTGTTGTTCTGTGGTGTTTTGTTTTTTATTTTTAGGTAAGATAGCCTACTTATAAATAAATTCTTTTTCCTTTTTTTCATTTGATAATTCCTATGTATTTTACATCTGCATTTATGTAAATATCTGAAATATATTTCTCTTTAAATATTTCTGGTTACCACTAATTTATGTTTGCTTAATGTGTAACAAGTACTACTGATTTTTATTCTCTTTTTTGTTGTTGTGCTCATACGTGATGTGCAGGCATACTTGTATTCAATTTTTTTTTTCACTTAGTGACAATTTGTTTTCCCTGGTTTAGATTTTATGATATACACTGGCTAGTGTATGATTATAGTAAGCATTGTAGTACAGTATAACATAAGTCGAGCACAGAAGACCCGAAATCATGCATCTGTCGAACAGTGTCTGCTGCCCTGTTTTTTTCTTCTTCTTTATCTTTGTTAGAAAATTACGTGAAGCTCTAACACAAACATGGACTTGTCGAACTAATTACGCCACCCTAGAGGTCTAAGATCAATATCCTCTGAGGTGCACTTGAGACAAAATAATAATAATAATAATAATAATAATAATAAATAATAATAATAATAGTTTCAAAAACTGAAAAAGGCAAGGTCCGTAAAATACCGTCTTCCCCCCTCCAAAGAAGCAGCTAGATGTGCTGTTTTTAGCACGCTGCTCGACACGTATGTGCCGAGGCCCTAGGCTTTATATGCTCTTATACTATCTTCTAAGCGTCTAGTCCTAGGCCTTGCTTGGCTTGTGTGGAGTGGGCGAGAGGAAGGGTTGTGCATCACACAATCTATTGTTTTGTCCCAATCTTTGTTGCTTCCCTTGATTCTCTGTCGATGCCTTAACATTGTTCACATATCCCTCGAACTACAGATCCCTCGAACTACCGAGGCCTTTCCCGACGAATTTGAGCTATCAGTGTCATACTGTTGATAGCTTTATCTTCTTTAGTTGATGATTGTTACTAATTCAGGGTTGTGTCTATTCAAATCTTTTTTTTCATTGTGGATCTAGATGAAATGTGGTAGTGGTATTAATGTAGCTTGTGTTGTAAGATAATACTTGTTGTGTCCTCTCTCATACTCGCAAGCCTTATTGCAGAATGGTTTGTTCGCTGAAGAAACTACCCCAAATCTCCGTTTTTTCTTCCTCTTTAAAAAAAGCATGCCCCCAAGCTGAATGATCTGTGGTTTATACCTGATGCCGTTGACATGTAGATCAAACATATTTGAGAATGTACTCTCCAAATTGAGGAAATATGATTCACAGAAGCAGTACAGAGAAACCAAAGATCTCTCTATAGTATAGGATGGAACTGGTTAAATACAGGTTTTATAGCCTAAGAAAATGGACCTGTTGTGTGCAGTGAGGAACAAGGATGAGGGTTAGGATTAGAAATGGAACTTTCTCTTTTTTTTTTCTTTTAATGTTTGGTGGGTTTTGTCTGGGTCCCTTCTTAAAAATGTTTCTCCTGAACTGTCAGGCTCTACATGGTGACATGAAATATATTGAAGACTTTCAGCGCTTGGTACAGTTATAGTAGAGGTGTGTAAGTTTTGCCTTTGTTGTTATATTTCATTATGCTGAAACCTTATTGTAAATTAGTGTGATGTATCAAAACGCCACAGTTAAATGACTTGAAGCTTGTGGTGTATGCACAGCAATGGAGATTGCTATTCGTGTTAAATCGTACTAAGAAATTTCGAAATTTATGTTTGTGTTTGCAGTTCAGGATGCAACTGAGAAATGTTTAGAATGGAATGTGACTTTTCCTGATTTTGCCCATTATTTAGCATAATTTTTCTGAAATGAGTTTTGTAGTGACTATTATTCTAGAATGTTCACAAATACAGTCTAGCATGCACATATCGAAAGTGGTGGGGCGCTGACAAGTTTTCACAAAGATTTCACTGTGTTTGTGTTTAAGATGCAAAGAAAATAATACAGTATTAGAAAAAATTGGGGAACAGTAAATCTGTTTGCTATGTGTGCATGTTTCCCTATGTCCATATATTCGTTATGTGCATGCTAGACTGTACTTTTTTATTCTTATCTCAATGTAAGCATGACTGTTCCAAATGTTTTTGAATAGTATTAAAGGCACTGAAAGTTTGTGATATCAAGTGTACAGTAAAGTGTAATAAAAAAATAAAAGCTATTGTTTTGTATTCATCTTATCATTTCTCAAACTCAGGGCTACCTTCTGTAATCCCTTATGTGGCCTTTTGACTCTTAGGAAGGGAAAAAAATGCGAAATTGTGTATATTGAAAACGCCCCTTGCAACACGGGAAGGTTATTTAGGACTAAGAAACTTGTCCTCTGAAAGTAAAATCTCGATCTCCAATAGTACCAGGCTAAATCGGAAAATTTTATTTTAAGTGCCTTTCCCAAATGGAAGGTGCTGAGCGTAGAAGAACCCTTGACCTGCAATCTCACGATTACGAGTCTGAGAAGATATTCACTTGTGGAAAGGGGAACCGGACTGTGACCACTTAGTACTTAGACTCATTTGCCTGTCATTGTTTTGCAGGGATTTGGGTTTTTATGTGTTGGTTGAGATTGACACACAAAATGATAGCACAAAATGTATTTACTCTACACCAAGTTTTGCTTCATGTGCGACTTGAATTTGCAATTTCAAGTAATTCAGGAAATGTTAAAAGAATGGCATTTGGACATGTGGCATTGAGCGACTCAAATCATGAATCCAAACTGTTCAGGTACTACGAATTGAGCAGAGTGTGACAAACAACCCTACTTACAGTATTTCACTTGATGAATGACTACTCTCTCCCCTCATGAAGATATCGTGCTTTAGAAGCAATACATTCTTCTTCAAGTACTTGTTCTGTGACGTGATTTGTTTTCCCTTGACCGTAATTATACAAGGGGCATACCAAAAGTTTTTTACGTGATCATGAAGGAATAAAGGCAGAAAGCTGAAATTTGGGGTGAAAGTCAACAATCAGCTTCCTAGAATGTGTGTAAATTTGGTGAAATTTCCAATAACTGGTTTTAACACCAGTGCACTGTAAGTGAATGGGGGTATGTTGTTCCAACATGAAAATTGAGAAAATTGAGCACAGGGCAGTAATGAAGTTTTTTGTTCTTGAAAGAACAACAGGATACTTTTATGGAGATGCATGCCGTATAATATGGAACTGATTGCCCATCCTATGCCGTAATAAAAATTTTGGTGTAAAAAATTCAAATGTGGATTCCTGGACATTGAAGATGACCACCGTGATGGACGCCCAGTGACAGCAACAACAGAAGAGAATTTGTTGAAAATCAAGAAACATGTGTTGTCTGATAGGCAAGTGATAGTCAAACGTTTGAGCAAAGAAACTAGGCTTAGCATTGGATCAGTTGAACGAATCTTAAATGAACATTTGAATATGACAATGTTCTCTGCGAGATGGGTCCCACGTTTGTTGACTTCTCCTCAAAAAGTGCAACGTGTGGATTGAACATTGTCAAGAATTGCTTGGTCTGTATGAAAATGATAAAACTAAATTTTTTTGAAAGACTTATTACCATGGATGAGACATAGGTCCACCACTATGATCCTGAGTCAAAATCTGCATCAATGCAGTAGAAATTGCCCTCGTCTCCAACACCAAAGAAGGCAAAGGTGCAGCCATCAAGTGCGAAAGTGATGCTATCAGTTTTTGGAATCAAGAAGGAGTAATTATGACAGACTATCTTGAAAATGGACATACGATCACCGGAGACCACGTCATTCTAACTAGCTAAAAAAATTGCTTGCGAGATGCTTTAAAAGAAAAACGCAGAGGAAAGATCCGAAAATGCATTTTGCGGCTTCACGACAACGCGCCAGCACACACTTGAAAAAAAGCTGCAGAAACTGCGCAAGAAAGTGGCAATGAAATTTTGACACATCCACCCTATTCTTCATATTGAGCCCCGTCCGACTGTTTTTTATTCCCTTAAATGAAAAAGGATTTAAAAGGAAGGCATTTTGAAAGTGATGAGGTCAAAGAAGCGGTAGCTAGGGCTGGTTTTCTGATAAAGAGAGGGTCTTCTATTCTCAAGGTCTTTTCAAGGTCATACAGCAATGGCAAAAATGTATATTGGTATAACTATGGGAGGCGAATACACAGAGAAAGATTAAGGTTAGCACCAAATTTCAGAGTTCTACCTTTATTCCTTCATGGTCAGGTTAAAAAAAAAAACTTTTGGTATGCTCCTCATACATGTATCAATATTTTGGATTAATTTCCCAGTCGGATTAAAAAAATAAATATATTATTACTGGTCGTCACATAGGTTGAGAGTTGAAATTTTTTTCTGTGGGCAGATGAAGGGGTTACCTTATGAATTACTGCCATCCACCGCCGTAAAAATCAGTGAAAATTGTAGGCCTACATGAGTGGAAAGGTGACAGAACGATAATAATATGAAAGATTACTATAACTCTAGAGAAATTCAAAGACCACTCCTCACCCATGAAAAATGTTTTTTAAAAGTTTCATATGCATATACATTCAGCATGGCGTCTGATTCATGAATGAACAATAAATGTGAGGGGAAGAATAGCGGTTTTCAGTTGGAATTGGAAGGCGAATTATTGTAGTTTGTAAAGCGTTATGCACGGGACATAACTAGTACTTTCAAATTACTTGCTCAATTGCTTGATTGTTTCCCCTGGTACGCTTTGTGGCAAACAGTACATTTTTGAGTAAAACGAAATTCTTAGGCTTATCAACTCGCATAAATGATGTTGAGATGAACAGGTGGCCTTCTTTATTTTCAGCTTTTTTTCTTCTGGAAGCACTGCACAATGCAGTCATAGCTTGTTCACTTTCGTCTGACGGCGTGAAAAAAAATCTCGTTAATTGGGGAATTTACCTACTCTAAGGTATCGATTAAATTTGGGGGGGGGGGGGGGGGGGGGGGGGGTGGGACACATTCAACCTCATACCCCTGTACTAGTAGGAATGTTTTATTTCTCCTTCAGTGAATAAAAGAACAAGAGATCATGAAATTTTAGTGATTTTTAGTAAGTTACCGTGACAACTTTTCCCATTTAGGAACAAACAGTTTCATTAAAAATTGTTAATTACCAATGTACAAAAGTTTTTAAAATGCACAGAAAATTGAGGTAGCCAACCCGGTACCGGTACTAATACTGAGGGTAATTTGCCATTTACAAAAAAAAAAAAGAAGTTTCATTCAGACATATCTAGATTCTAGTCTAAAAAAATACTCACCCTGTCTCTTGAATTGTGTTTCTTAGGCAAATATTTAAGAGTGGTGTTAAGGAAAATATGCCAACTTTTAAATGTTTTAGGTGTATGCTCTAAATCCCCTATTATTTTTGTTACCCTTAGGCTTACATCAAAGAAAGTGTGTCGAAACTTTAGTTTGCATTGACTTTTACGAATGGGCGTTTAGATTCTGTTGTGATTTATCCTGTTTTAACCGCGGTCAGACGAAAGAGAACGAGCTATAATGAAGTACGTTGTTTTACGTAATCTAAGACACACATGTGTCACAGAGAGCATATACATTATTTCTATTAAATATATTTTTTTTTGTAGGTAAATGTTTTACCGCGACGCTTGCAACTACAATATGTGAGCGCGCGGGACACATTAAACATTTTCAGCTGGTGGAAATTTTGAAATTTGCTTGGGTGGTGGCCGAAACCTGCTCTCATCGATTTAATTTGGACCATACATTAAATATCAGAGGACTTTCTGGGTTGATTAAGCCATGTTTTTGTGTGGGGTGCTGATAAAATGAGTTACGTCTCAGATTTAAGCCCTCTGATGATAGATACGTCAAATTTTTAGGTGGAGTTTGTAAAATTTATACTTATGACTTATGAAATAACAAAGAAATCTTAAACTAGAAGGAAATGACATCAATTTTATTTTGATTCATTAAAAATCAACAAATTTGTCCTTGGTGTTCATTTCCGGCTAGTATCTCCATTAACGGATTGCAAGAAGTAACTCATTTTGTCAGCACACCTCACAATTGTCTTCCTTATTTCCGCTCTTAAAAGAGCCCAGTCCATTTATAATAGCCTCTGTTATAACAGGGATTTGGATATGACAGTGATAAATCAAATCCCTGTAGTTTTTTTTTCTCTATAAATGCAAGTAATATAAACCTGGCTATAACAGGGTTCAATTTGCGCAGACTTCGATATTAACAGTGATCTTGCAGCGCATGAACTTGATCCGTCAAATTATTAAAATTTCTGTCAACGAAGACATTTCACCTGTTTGTATGATCGCTTACCTAAACACAAACATTCAAGCACATAACCCCCCCCCCCCCCAAATAGTGTTGGGGTCACTGATCGCTTCCGTCTCAGTGTCAGCAAAACAGCCCACTGCAAAAGGATCTGCGGTAATCGATATATAGTAAGCTGAAGGTGCAGTGGTATTGGCAGTTTCCCTTGATAATGGTTATAACTGGACTCGTTTATAACAGTGAATAACTGCCGGTCCCGTCTGTCCTGTTATATCCGAGTTTGACTGTATCAGTAAATCTGCTTCTATGTTTCATTAAACAGTTCTATCTGCAAAATTGTTACCAAAAAAAAGTTTCCTTCATTTTCTTTTTCACGTTCATCTTTGAATGGACATCCTCGTCTCTTCTATGAAGGCTGCTGTTTGCAGGCCCTTCAGATTCCTATGGACTATTTTGGACTCCCTATCCCGGGTTGGGCCATAATTTTCTTCTTCTAAGTGCTTAACATTGGGCAAGCTTGCAGATATGTGTCACGATGTGGTGGAATCAGCATCGGTCAATTTTTTGGGGCATGTGGAGTCATTCAATTTCTGTATTTTGACAAGCGCCTGATTTTACCACGCTGCTTTCCAAAATGTGACACCACGCGTTGGGATCAGGCTTTTGTGAATTTTTGGGCGTATGGAGTTATTGGTTTCATCATAAAGCTTGCTCTTTTGTCTTACTCTAGGTGAACAAAATTCCCAACTATCTCTTGTATAGCAGTCGAGATATTTTTGATTGCAGGATGTGGGGGTCACCTGTTGTCAGAGTTAAATAAGCGAGAAAACGGCCGCCAAAGTTTAGTAACTTCATAACTTGAGAGTCCTTGAAAACTGAAAAATGACATATTTTGAGCCTTTATCAACGTTTTTCTGTAAAATTAACATGGAAATGTTTTTAAAAAAAATATTTACATAAAAGGTGCTCCGCCAAAGAACAAAAATTCGAAAACAATTGCTGAACATGCAGAAAAATGTAGGTATCTTTGATTTCGTTATTTTGACGACGAGCGCCTGATTTCACCACGCTGCCTCACATATATGATTTTCTGGTTGGCTACCGGTTCTGCATTGACACTGCTCCGAGTTATGGATCATGAACTTTGTGTAGACTAAAAGACAACAATTTTATTTTGATTTATTGCGGTGTCCGTGGTGCAGTTTCGGGGATTCGAGCCGCGGGCCCGACGATGTGTCCTTGGTCCTTGGCAAAGGCACTTTACACAAATTTTCCTCATTTCACCCAAGTGGGAATGGGTACCCGTCCATTGACAGCAAAAGATCTTGTCAGTATGTTAGTGTTTTAGCGCCTATAAATGGCCGGTTGCACTGTATGCTTCCTTGGAAGTTGAGCTTGTTTCAGAATGCTCTCAGGTCTGCTGGGGTAATAGTATAGATTGTAAAGCGCATCAAGCTTGCTGTTGAGCGGGGATTTGTGCTGTACAAATGCTATCTATTATCTATTATATTATTATTAGAGGTGATGTTTCACATAGTTGTAGTCTGTCCTGAGTCTGAATAGAACAAAACTTTTTCATAAAGTAATCATAACTCTGAGACAAACTGTTTCTGTATATTATTTGTAAATTTATGTATGTAACGATAAGCAGTCACTATGACATTGTGTAGCTTAATACTACAAGAGTGCTTGATGTGAAGCAATCCCAAAAGAATTCAAAGGATACCGAACGAAAGTTAGTCCATTGGTCCATATTCAGCCTGATAAAAGAATGAAATTACGATACGGAAGGGATACCATGATGTCATACATTTATTCATATATAGCAGATGACAAGTAACGACCAAGACTACTCTGGAACAATGTGAAATGAAAGTCTTGCCTTACAACATGTATCATGTATACACACACATCAAATCCATAGGAGACAATGTGGATACAGAAATGTTTACCTATATATATCAGTACAGGACTAGGAACTTATGAAAGTAACCTACATAATGGGACATTTACAAAGCCATGGTAATGAAAGACACATATCTATTTAAGCATCAAAATATATAGAAATTTATTTAATAAATCATGTGAGAAAAATGTCAAAATATAACATTAAAGTTTTTTCAGTTGTCATGCAAAGACTAACCAAATAGCAGCACTCGTAATCTCAAAAGTGGGTGGTTGGGAGGTGCCACTTTTCTTTTCCAGGTTCCTGAGCAATGCAGCTCGGAATGGTACCACTAAGTTAACACTATAAACAGTAACTTCTTCAGGTGTCAGATCTGGAGCAGACATTGATGATCATGTTACCTCATTCCTTCCTCTTGCCTGTCTTCATGATCATCTCGGTTTTTCTCTTATGTCATTTATTGCAAAGTTGTTCAGGTCATCTGTTTATGTCGTTCTTTGTCTTCCTCTGCTCTTCTTTCCCTCTATCTATCCACACAGCAGCAATTTCTCTAGTCCATTTGATCTATTTACGTGGCCAAAAAATTTCAATTGTCTTTTTATGATGGTTCTGATTATGGATCTTTCACATCCTGCCATTTGGAGTACTTCTCTATTTGTTTTCCTTTCTGCCAAGAAACAGTAACAGCGCACACAAAAGCACTTGATGGAGACTACAGGGGTGAAAGGGCAGTCATCACAATTTTTAATTTTTACTGTCTGTCTTGATGTATTGTCTCTATTTTGTTCATCAATACTAATCGCGGACAGTATCGCATACAGATGTATCTCAAAGGCTGCCAAAAATGACTTACGTCTGTGTGCAATATTGCCCGCGTAATAGAGTCAAACCTGCTCAAACGGTCACCCGCATATAAGACAAATCACATGTACAAACGGCCACTTTCCTGCTATGGATTTTTTTTTTTTACATTACAATGATACTGTGAAAACGTTTTTCTTTTTAAGACGGCCACTATTTTTCTCTCGACAGTTTCCAGTTTCGACTATTTTCTCAAAAAGGGCCATTCACAGGTGACATACTTAATAATAGTTATATGCGATACAAGAACAGGTTCGTAGTAGTCTAACACACACACACATATATATATATATATATAACCACAATAAAACAAGTTATCAAAGATATTTCTCTGATAGTACTGCCCTATTGTCCCCGCTTTCAGTCACCCTTTCATAGAATCTTGCTACTGTGATACAATTGTTTAGAGAGACTGGCTTCCCCTGGCAACTAGTAACTACTCCCAACAGTTTAGCAAACAGGACAGAGCCCAAACCTTTGTGATCCGTCTGCTTCACTGCACTATATCATCAAAGGACAGTCTGACACAAATATATAACGAAACATGCACAAGTATAGTGACCAGATTTTCAGGTTTCAACCTTTTTCTTCTTCGAATTTAAAACACACTGGGCCTATCTAGCAAACTTTGCACATAACGAGATGATTTCCGCATCCTGCCAATTTCGCTATGTCCATGCTAGACTGTATTACATGTACAGCTTTTATAAAAGAGCAATATGAAAAATAAAACAAAATGTGAAGCTGTTAAGTTAATTGCCCACTACTTTCTGGGAGAGTTTGTCCCTGCTGTCTGGTTGGTGCCCCCGGTTGTCTGCTCCCTGGAATGAGATAGAGGGAAAAAGAAAACATCAGTATGATAACCTAACTTAAAGATTTAAAAAAAGGAAAGAAAAATGCAGCGGAGTCTGCGTAATCCAAAATTTGAGGGACTGTCGGATTTTCTTTGGTTTAGCCAGACTTTTTGGTCTAAAGAGAGGGATTAAAAATTTTCTATGGGATTAACTCTGCTTTCAGATTGACCGTGTTCGGTTTCAAAGCACCCCAATTGACTACATTTACTTATTTGTGAGGCATCTTGGTGAAATCAGGCGCTTGTCAAAATAATGAAATCAAATAAACTGGCATTTTGCCAATTTTTTTATCGTTCAACCCTTTTTAGGTCCATTTAAATACATATTTCTGTGTGGATTTTTCTGAAAAACGTTGATTCGTACACAAAAAGAGTAAATTTTCAGGTTCCAAGGACTCTCTAGCTATGGTAGTCGGCATACTTCGGCTGCCATTTTCTTGCTAATTTTACATCTGAAACCAGGCGAGCTTACAGCCTTCAATCCAAAATATTTCAACTTCAAGATTTTGTCAAAAGCAAGACAAATGAGGAGGCTACAAGATGACTCAAATAGCTCCATATGCCCCAAAATTGACGAGTGCCTGATTCCACCCTGTCGGGGCACATTTTCAAGGGCAGATTTGGCTTAATTTGGCCCAAATAAATCTAGAGATTACAGATAAACAATACATGGGTCTATTATTACACAATATGTGCCCCAAAATTGACGAGTGCCTGATTCCACCATGTCGGGGCACATTTTCAAGGGCAGATTTGGCTTAATTTGGCCCAAATAAATCTAGAGATTACAGATAAACAATACATGGGTCTATTATTACACAATATGTGCCCCAAAATTGACGAGTGCCTGATTCCACCATGTCGGGGCACATTTTCAAGGGCAGATTTGGCTTAATTTGGCCCAAA